GCCGGACCGACGGCCCTGGTGTCCCCCAGTGTCCCCCCCCTAGCCCCCCGCATCCCAAAGGCACCCCCCGGGTCCCCCCCCCCGCCCCCCCCCCCCCCCCCCCCCCCAATTTCTCTAATCCCTTTTTATACTGTTGGAAAGGACACCCGATTTCCCCACCTCGGTGTCCTCAGAGCCCCCCCAAAGTGCCCCGTGTCCGTCACCGATGTATTCCCAGGTGCTCAAGGTACCACGTCCTGCTCCCTCCCCAAAAGCCGCTCTCCCCGGCACCCCCTGCACCCCGGGATGTTCTTGCCTTTGGGGTGAGGGGGTGCAGGCTCAGCCCCACAACCCGTCACAGAATCACAGAATCACAGAACCTTCTAGGTTGGAAGGGACCTTAAAGATCATCTTGTCCAACTGTCAACCTCACTGACAAAAATAGACACCCACACAACAAACAAGGAGCATCATCACTAAACCAGACCTCCCAGCACCACATCAACCCATCTTTTGAACACCTCCAGGGATGGGGCCTCCACCACCTCCCTGGGCAGCCCATTCCAATGGCTGAGAACCCTTTCAGTGAAAAAATTTTTCCTAATATCCAGCCTGAACCTCCCCTGGTGCAACTTGAGGCCATTTCCTCTCGTCCTGTCGCCTGGGACTTGAAAGAAGAGACCGACCCCCACCTCTCTACACCCTCCTTTCAGGGAGTTGTAGTCGTGTGGCTCTGCGCTTCGCTGCGTAGGTGCAAAGCTGGTCCCCGACCCCCAGTGATATAAAACGAGACCCAAAACACGGGGCAGTGACAAACCAGGCTCTTCCCCCCAGCCCCAAACTGGCTGGTGACCCCCAGAAGAGCAGAGCCCAGCAAAGCCACCCAGAGGCCGTCCCTCCAAAGGGGTCTTCAAGCCATCCCAGAGCTATGGGGACCATCGGAATTCTCTCATTTAAGTTATCCCCTCCAGCACAGCAGGATCCAGCATCTCAAAACAGGGGACAAACCTCACACTGCTCTCATCCTCCCCAACCCAGGAGCCATCCACACGTGGGGATTGTTCCTCCACCACCCTCCCTGCAACCCGGGGGGGAGGTTAAGAGAGTCCGAGACCCAGGATTTGCACGGGCCTCTTTTCAAACACTTAAAAGCTACCGTTCCTGGCGCGGGGGGAGGTCAGCGGCTCCTTAAATCACCGCTGGTTGGGATGACTTCCCTTGCAGCCCCCCCTCCTCTGCAGTTTGTAATTCATTCGAGCTGCTATTTAGCAGCGGAGCCGCTCGGGTTTGGAGGGCGAGGGAAGCGAGCGCGGAGGCTTCGTAGGAAGCTTTCTATTAAAAATTCATCGCGGAGCTGTGCCTCAGACCTCTCAGGAGCACGGCGCTCAGTAGGGCCAGGCGGGTGTCTGGATCTGGTTTTGTAGCTCAGGGAAGGGGATCTGAGAGCAGCACGCAGGGAGGGAGCGTGCTATTCATTCATAAATCAACCAGCAGATGCTGGGGCCGATGGGGTGCACCACGGTGACAATTTTTAACCCCTGAGCATCGCCGCTATAAACGGGCCCCCCCCGGGGCAATTAAGGGCTGCAGGCGGAGGTTCCTGCGGGAGGAAGCCGTGGGGCTCAAGGGGAAGAAATAAGGGGAAACTGGGAGATGGAGGAGGAGGAGGAGGGGGGGATGATGGGGGGGAGAAAAGGCAGCGGCTGCCCCAGCCATAAATCAGGGGGAAGGCTGCGCTCGGGCGAGGGACCAGCTGCGAACCGGCCTGTTGACGACTCCAGCAGCGCTGCACCGGGCTCTGCTCAGCCCCGGGGGCTGGGTGAGACCCAAAAAAGGGGGAAACCCTGCTCAGCACCCGCTGCCAGGGCCAGGGCTGCAGCTTGACATCAAACCCCGAGGCCGTTAACCCCACGGCTGCCCAAATCCACCTTGCTGTGTCTGCGGACGCAGCCCCCCGGCGCTTGGCGTCCAGGATCCTTGCTCGGGGCAGCAAGAGGAGGAGGAGGAGGAAGACTTCAGCAAGAGTTTTAGAGCCTGGCATGAAATGCTGTCACCAGGGAAAATCACTACGAGATTCCCACCTGGTTACCTGGGGCCAGGTTTCGTTCATCATCATTTGAATGACTAGAGAAGGCCACAGCTGGAGAAGTGGTCATTGACCCTCCTTACAGCTTTGGGGCTTGCCTGTCCTCCCAGTTCTCCCCATTTTACACCAGTGCACTTTATTACCAGTCCTCCTTTCAATCAGCATAGAATGGTCAGAGTTGGAAGGGACCTTAGAGATCATCAGGTTGGACACCTCCCACCAGACCAGGTTGCTCAAAGCCCCCTCCAACCTGGCCTTGAACCCCTCCAGGGATGGGGCAGCCACAACTTCTCTGGGCAACCTGTTCCAGTGTCTCACCACCCTCACAGGAAAGAATTTCTTTCTGGAGATGCTTTCCAGGGAGATGCTCCACACGTGTGTCCACCCACGCACGCATCCTCGGCCACTCGGTGACCGGAGCGGTGGCCCTTGAGCATGCACAGGGGGTGGATGGGGAGAGATGCTGCTGCTGCTGCTGCTGCTGCTGCTGCTGTCGGGGGATTTCTCATCTCTAAAAAGCGTGTGAGAGGAGCCAGGACCCACCTCTCCCCCGGCACCAAGCCCTTGGCAGCATCCTCTGCTCCGGGCGTAGCGCAAAATGCTCTGGCGTGTGCAGCGCCCGACGGGAGGAGATGGGGTTTTGAAAAGCTGCGAAGTGACTTAGGAGCACGAGTGCCATTGACGTGAATCCTGCGGTTCTGAAGTCACGAAAGTGCCATTCTTCATTGTTCGGGGCCGCGATTCTCCTCTCCCCACAACAGCCCGACAATGAGGAGCATGTTCAGGGCTCACATCCTCTGTGCTATTGATAGCACCGCCGAGCTTTTTTGGAGCGTGGGTCCCATCTGCCACTTCCACTCCTTTTTAAAAGATCCTAATGACTGTCAGATCCTTTTAGTTCTTAATTAATTTCAGAGTTCAACTGCAAATAGGAAACAAGGCAGCT